ACTTTAGGCCTCCCTCTGGGCTGTAAAATACAGACCCCCAACTCACCCCCTCCACACACACACACACACACACACACACACACACACCTTTCCATCCTGCTGAATTCTGACAAGCATCGACATATAATTTCCATTCAGAATCTATGACATTAATTTTTTTAGGGACTGGTTAGAGAGCCAGTAGTGACCATTACTCCATCCCGGTACTGCTTGGACTACAGAGCTGCCAGCCAAGAGGTGGAGTGGGATTTAGTAGATTGCTGGCTGAGTCCCAATCCTCTAGACTTTTCCTGTTAGTGTCCAACTCTTCTGTGGCAGCAGCACCTTGAATGGATTTAAGTTCCACGGATGCAGCATCGTCGGAAGGAAAAGAAATTTACATGGATCAGAAATCTTTAGCATCAGGAACAAAGGGATGGCTCCACCCCACCTACTGACTCCACCTGAGTAAACAGTTCACAAGTAATTCCTCGAATCATGGATTAATATGACACACAAGAACATAGGAATGGAAGCATTCATCCCCTTGAGCCTGTTTAACCTTTCAATGGCCTAACTCCATATATAGTAGGAACTGCAGATGCTGGAGAATCCGAGACAACAAGGTGCAGGGCTGGATGAACACAACAGGCCAAGCAGCTGATGAAGGGTCTAGGCCCGAAACGTCAGCCTCTCTGCTCCTATGATGCTGCTTGGCCTGCTGTGTTCATCCAGCCCTGCACCTTGTTAACTCCATATATACTTGCCTTTGGCTCATATCCCTTAATACATTTGCTAAACAAGAAAAAACTATCTCAGATTTAAAATTAACAACCGATCCAGCATCCAATGCCATTTGTGGAGGAGAGTTCCAAACATCTATCACCCTTTGTGTATAGAATTGCTTCCTAACATCTCTCCTGATTGGTCTAGCCCTCATTCTCAGACTATGCCTCCTAGGTCTAGAATGTCTAATCAGTGGAAATAGTTTATTTCTCTTTACCCTGAATTTTTATGTTAATATCTTGAAAGCTTTGATCAGAACACCCCTTAACCATTTAAAATCTAGAGAATATTGGCCTAATTTGTCTAATCTCTCTTTATAACTTAACTCCAAAGTCCAAGTAACATTCTTGTAAACCTATGTTGTGCTCCCTCAAAGGCCAATTTATCCTTCTTACGGTGTGGTGCCCAGATCTCCCCACAGTACTCCAAGTGGGTCTAGCCAGGGTTTTGTATAACTGCAGCATAACTTCTGCATCCTTGTACTCCTATCCTCTAGATATAAAGGCGAGCATTCTATTAGCTTTCTTGAATATTTTCTGAAGCTATTTGTGACATCCTAAAAATCTGTGCAACTAAATCTCCAAAGTCTCTTTGGACATCCACTGTATTTAGCTTCATACCATCTAGAAAGTTCCATGATCTATCCTTTTTCAGTCCAAAATGGATAACCTCACACTCGCTTACATTGAACTCCATGTAGAAGGTCAGAAATCAAATGACAGTAGGTTATAATCCAACCAGGTTTATTTGAAAACACAAGCTTTCGGAACGTTATTCCTTCTTCAGGTGTTAGTGAGAGAAATAGTACCAGACACAGAATTTATAAGTGAAAGATCAAAGAATCACAGCACTGATGAGGATGTACTAAACAGACCTAAGATGCTGTAAAATCTTTAATCAGTTAGAAGGTTTTAATTGATTATAATGTACATGTAAATCTCTGAATTCCTTTCAAGTCACGGTCCTGAGAGGATTAATTGTAAAGAAGAGGTGACATTTTAGGAACAAAAACAAAGTTTTTTAACCCTGTTCTGAGGAAGAGTCACCGGACCCAAAACGTTAACTCTTTTTTTCCTTCACAGATGCTGCCAGACCTGCTGAGCTTTTCCAACAACTTTGTTTTTGTTCCTGACTTACAGCATCCGCAGTTCTTTCGGTTTTTATTAGGTGACATTTTAGGTCAGACAATGCATGTTAGGTGTGAGGCGTTTTGTAGAATCTGTTTGTGTTTTTGTTTGGAGTCAGACTGGTTTCATTTCTAAAGTAGGAATTTATAAAATGCCACATTGACTGACTGTCTATAAGTTGTTTGCTTTTTGAACAAAATAGAACGTATCTGCAAATACAAATTCACTCCATAGATTCATATGTGCTTGTGCATGTGTCTGTCAGTGGGGAGACAGAGTGTGTGAGTGAGGGGGGTTGAGAGAGAGAGAGAGATAGATAGAGAGAGAGAGAAAGAAAGTGTGTGTGTGTGTGTGTGTGTGTGTGTGTGTGTGGGCTGGGGGGCAGGGGAGGGGTGGTGGTTGGGGGTGTACCATCTTTCAGGTGAGATGTTATACCAGGGCTGACTGCCTCTCAAGTGGTCGGGAAAGATCCCTTGCCATTAATTTGCAAGGCAGAGAAAGTATCACCTCATCCTGACTTATCGTCATCTCTCAATCAACCTTGCAAAAAGTGTCTGCTCATTATGACATTGCTGTTTAATTGTGGGAGCTTGCTGTGAACAAATTGGCTGCTGTGTTTCTCATATTACAATGGTGGTCACATTTCAGACAAATGACTTAATTGTTTGTAAAGGTCTTGAGACATCAGGTGATTTTAATAAACCCTACATAAATGCAAGTCTGTCTTTTCTTTTTGAATAATACTGAGAAATCTGCAATAAAGTTATAATCATTTTAATATTTAGAATGATGAAAGGATTTCCTTTTTCCCTGGACAGCCAATTTTGTATTATTTAATCTCATGCACTGGAAACACAACAGGGAACCTCATTACATAAAATAGCAGACTTTGCAAGTGAATTACAGATGAACACAATTGAGGGGTTCATTTTACAAAATAGCAACCTTTGGGAGGGAGCTCTGGGATACAATACAATGGATGATCACAGAGTTGGGTCATTCGTAGTAAATCTGTATAATCCTTAGTCCTGCCACCATGGATCTATCAATTCACAAGTGCACCTTTAATAATTTCCTCCCAGCCAGATGATTATTATGTTGCAAGATCATTCTCACGTTAGAGCAAACCTTCAGATGGTTTTCCTTGCTCAAAAAGGGCTGTTGTGTGTAAGTTAGATCATAGAATCCCTACTGTGTGGGAACAGGCCCTTTGGCCCAACAAGTCCACACCGACCCTCAAAGCATCCCACCCAGACCCATCCCCCTAATCTACACATCCCTGAACACTACGGGCAATTTAGCATGGCCAATCCATCTACCCTGCACATCTTTGGACTGTGGGAGTAAACTAGAGCACCCAGAGGAAACCCACACAGGCACAAGGAGAATGTGCAAACTCTACACAGTCACCTGAGGGTGGAATTGAACCCAAGTCCCCAGCACTGCGAGGCAGCAGTGCTAACTGCTGAGCCACTGTGCTGCCTTTTAACATATCTCTCACTCTTTTATTCACATCACAATGAATGAGCTGGGGATGGTGGAGAAAGAGAGAGTGGAAGAGAGGAAGGCAGAGGGAAAGTAAAAGACAACGAGAGAAAGAGCAGGAGGTTATAGGAGGGGGTGACACAGAGCACACGAGAGGGGGACGCATAGGGACAGCGTGATAAAGGCAGACACATTCACAGTGTACAGGAGTGAGATTGAGTAATGAAGAGTAGAATAACTGTGTGAACAAGACCTCAAGACACAGCCAGAGCTAGAATTACAGTGACTCGGTCAGAGCAAGAGACTGAAGCAGAATGAGAATGACAGTGTGCAGTCTGTAGATATTGATGCACACGTGTTGGATTCTAATAGGCTTCTTCTACAATCTTCCCAGGAGCAAATGACATAAATCAGGTTCACATATGCGCAGAATACCAATAGATGCTGCAGTGAGTCTGTGATCCTTCCTTTTAAGATTTTCCTCACATTTTCTACAACTATTCTTCTCTCCCAGCCATTCACCTTTCAGTCAAGTGATGTTCTGAGTGAATGCTGCAACCTACTGATTTACTGCACTAACAGTTTTGTTTTTCAGACTTTCTCTTCTTGTCTTTTCTCTAATCCCATGAAAGCCCATTCTACAGAAACTAACCACTCTCTAATTCTAAACTTAGTGGCCACTCTTCGTTTCCAAGCCTAGTCTGTCAGTATCAAGAGGTATAAGAACCGTGAAGGCCTTTATAATTTTCCTCTGCCCACTGCAAGATTTTTAGATTTTTAGATTTAGATTTTAGATTTTATTGTCAAATAGTCACAACAAAAGGTAGCAGTTTGTGTCTATATAGCACCTTTAACATGGTAAGATGTGCTGAAATTACTTGTAGGAGCAGTTACCAAACACTGATGTCTTTGGGCAGATTGTATAGTTTCTCCATCCATTTCCTGGCACCCAGAATTACAGTACCTTTAGCAGCCCTCTTCCCCAAGTACGAGTTGATTTTTGAAAGAGTAGGTTCATAATTTCTGAGCTTGGGCTATACAGTTTGACTAAACAACCGCTGGGATCCTTTGAAGATGAGAACAAAATACTGTGAACTGAACACTGGATGGCCCCCTAATAAGGGGATCATGAAAAGATCATGGGAGAGGATTCAACATTAGCTCTTCAAGCAAAAACAGTGGACACTTAGCTGAACAAATGGCCTCCTTCTGGACTACACTATTTTCCAATTCTATAAGCATACTGTATCAATTATATTCAAATGTGTGCTCATTTATTTTTGTAATTCTTTGCTTAGATATTCTAAACGCACAAGAAATAAAACCAACTGGTTAACATGGCGCCAATTTCAGTGGTTATTTGAAAACAGGAAATAGGAGCAGGATTAATCCATGTAGGCCCCTTGATCCAGTTCCAGCATTTCATAAGGTCACCTCAGCATTTTCCAACTGGATCTCTACATTCCAATTGTGTTAGATTCCCCACTCTACTGAATATACTCCACAACTGAGCATCTTCTGCCCTCACACCAAGTGCACATTTATTATGTAATTGGGATTTTCTGAAATTTATAAATGATTGTTACAAGAAAGTAGAGTTTTTATTTAAAAATCATTATTTACCTGTTGTCTTTTCTGGCTCTTCCTTGTTCTTTGTTTGGCGAATCTGGTAGTTTGGAGTAGAATGAATCGTTGTTACAGATAAAGAGTCCCACATGCCTTTGTTGGGAGAACCCGTTCCATCTGATCTGCTGGTTGATGCAGTCCTTTCCTGTGCAGTTTTAGAAGTTGTAGTGTTATTAAACAGCTCACCTTCACCGAACTGGGTGGTAGTCTTTGATGTTATAGGGTAAGTTGATGACCTAATGCTTGATTGGTCCACTATCAATGTAATAGCTTGATGTGTAATACTTGTTGAAGTTGACCTCAAGATTCCAGGTTGCAGTTCTGACACCGAGAAAAGCACAGAGCGGTCAGTGTTCAAAATATCGAAGGCTGGTTTACTTGGTGCCTTGGTCTTGGTTAGCAGCTCAGGACTTTGAGTGGTGGCTGGTCTTTGCTGAGGCCGAGGATATGTATAGATTGGCACCACTGATCCTGCATGAGAAGGTTCTTGTGGAGAATTATGAGTGGTTTTCACCATTGCAACATATATTGGGGAGAAGGATGATGTAGTTGTGGATCCTGTTGGCTGCAATGCAGTACTGGGTAGGTTTTGAACAGAAAAGTCACTAGATTCACCATATAACATTTTGCTTGTTAACTCTGGGATATTTGAGGGAATGGGTCCTTGAGGATTTTCTTTAGAAAGTAGGATGTCTATCTGGTTTCCATTTGAAAAAGGGGTCATATGTAATTGTCCAGCATGCTGGGGTGTACCAACTTCATCATTGTTGAACAACACAGCATTCATAGTCTTGTTACTGGACTCCAATTGGATGGGTGGTATCTGCAATGACTCTGTACTAGCTCCACTGTCAACTGGTAGCACTGTAGGCACCCAAGATGTCAACAATGGTCTCGTACCAACCTGTCTTGCTGAGGCATGTGGTCTAGACATCTTAGAAACTGAAAGAGGACCCATACTACTTTCTGTCTCTGCAGTCAATGCAGAAGACACAGGAGGTAGGTTTAGTTTGAATTCTTGTTGTCTTGTTGATAAATGGACAACTCCAATCACGTTTGGTTGTGATGAAGGACTGTTAACTTGAGATACTTCACGTTCCCCAACTCGAAAAGATGCGATTTTTGATTCAATTATTATTGAGGAAATAATATTCACAAGAATAATGCTTTTGCACAACATAGTGATATTTTCCAGGCGCACTATGAATTGGCCCTTAATTATTTAGAAATAGTCTTCAAAACACCTGAAAAACAGATATATATATATAGTTAATAAATGTAATAAGTATCCTAAACTTTGTGCTCTAACAATATTTTTGTGCCAACAATGTAAAGGTTCAGCTCAATGCAAGTTCAATGTGGAATTACACAATACAAAGCTAGGAGTTCTGCACTCTCTGTCAATTTCAGCTGGGATAGTGATAGGTGGTTTATTAATGGTTCTAGTGTCTCCAAATTACAAAGTGAGAAAAAAGGGGCACAGAAGTCCTGGAAATGTGCCTGTGTGGCTAGTAGGTGAAGATAGGCTTGGGTTTGGCTATGGTGCCTCCCAAAGTTTAATAGCACACCAACAATCACTGTCTGGGTTTACATGTAAGATCCTTGGCTGACACATGGAAAATCAATCAACATCCAGCATAAGACAATGTCTTCAGAAGAGAAAACATAGTTAAGGAAAACTAACTGAGAAGGTATAGTATTAATTTAAAGAATTTAGAGATTCTATTTTAGAGTTGCACACTTTCTATTGTTTGTTACAAGCATATAATCTTTCAAATTAATTTTAATCTGTTGTATTTTGTTATTGCTGTCAAAGATGAGCTCTGTAGTTTATTGGTTTCACTTTTTAAACTTGCAGTTTATCTTACACATCAACTGTCCATATTGGGCTTTAGGAAATTATCAATGAGATCTGTGGTTGCCAATTCTGCAGGAACATATGAGTAATCCCAGGATAATACTGTACGTAGATTCAGCGAAGCACTAAACAAAAACATTTTTCTTGAGAGCTTCCACGCATTAGTTGTGGAAACATTGGATATTGAGGTCTGGGAAGGGAGTGTATCATGAGGATAGAGGTGTGAGAGAATCAGTGGCAGAAGGCTGGAGAATGGATAGTTGGAGAGGGTATGTCATATAAGCCAAGTCAGCAGCCCTAATGATATCCCATGTTATGTTTTATTTAAAAATCAGCGAAGGTGTACACAGTGGAGCTTACATTGACACAAATGTTAATATACACTCAACAAACACAAATGTATATATTCACAGATAGTAGGAACTGCAGATGCTGGAGAATCTGAGATAACAATGTGTAGAGCTGGATGAATACAGCAGGCCAAGCAGCATCAGGGGAGCAGAAAAGATGACGTTTTGGGCCTAGACCCTTCTTCAGAAATGGGGGAGGGGAAGGGGATTCTGAAATAAATAGGGAGAGAGGGGGAGGCGGATAGAAGATGGATACAAGAGAGTTGCAGTGGGAGAGAGATCCACTGAGGTCTTGGCTACACAAATAACACCAGCACATGCAAATAAAAACATCTACAGGTAGTTATTAGCTTTGTATAAGCATTAATTAACACAAGAAACCCTGGCATTTTGACTCTTTTAAAAGAGAACTACTGAGAAATATCAATCAGAATGGTTGTCGAACATTTCATTTAAGACTTGCAATGCTTGCATATCTTTTTACAGAGAACAAACTTTGAGCACTATTGTACTTTGTTTTCTAAACTCAGCTTTCTTCAATATGTTCTTGAGTGATTATTTCCTGATTGGAGGTGGGGAGTGGCTTCATGCTTTGGAGTAAGAGTCATTGGCAGGGGATTGGAAGAGTGGGGATCTAATTAAATGCCTTGAGGCGTACACTCAAATTCTGGTCTCTTGCATATCCCTATTTTCATGACTTCACTATTTGGTGGCCTTCCCTCAACTTTCCTATCCCTCTTGCCTTAAAAAAAGCTTTTAATTGAGTTTGGTCACCTGTGTTAATATGTAGCTTGAAATCAAATCTCGTTAAAGCTTTTGTGGAACATTGTGGGATGTTTTACTAAGTTAAAGTTGCTATACAAATGCATTTTTTTTATCGTTGAGAAGGAGTGATAGGATTCTGCCTTCACCTCCACATTTCCAACCTTGTACCACAGAATTAAATTCATAACTACTTTATTTTAGAAAAAGGAATGTTCTTGCAGATTTAAACTTACCACTACACAAATAATGGCCATCTTGCTGAACAGGCAGGCAACATTATTATTGACTATCAAGCTTTTGTTTGAGTCTAACAATCTGGCCATTTTATTTTGGAGAATGACAGGATTCCAATAACGATTCTCACCCTATTTATGAACGTTACCAGTATTTCTGAATTAATGTAGGTTCACCATTCTTCTTGTTCTACATACTGTAACACCATTACAGTTACAACACAGTCTCTGAAACAGAAGTCTTATTCTCTGGTTTTTAAAAAACGTTGTTCTGAAGAATCATCACTGGAACTGAAACATTAACTCTGCTTTCTCTCCACAGATGCTGCCAGGCCTGCTGAGTTTTTCCAGCAACTTCTGTTTTTGTTTGTCTTTTTGTTTGTGTTTGAATTCCTTCATGGCTTCATCTCTCACTATGCCTTCTCAAACATTATATATCCTTCCCTTCTGTTTTCCAAATTTAGCATTTTGTGCACCCAGTCACTTTTCACCCCACCATTGGAAGCCATGCTTTTTGTCACCTAGGTCCCTAAATCACTTATGCCTCCCTACCATTCTTTACGATTCTTCTTGAAGTCCATCTCCTTTGAGAATCATTTTAGACATCCCTCCGAATATCTTCCTTTTTTAGCTGTGCCTCAGTATTTTCTGATTATGCCTCTGAAATGCCTCAGGACATTTTTTTCTATGTGAGAGGCTATATAAATGCAAATTACCATCATTATGGATTGAAAATGTTCTATAAACACCAACTTTGTAAGGCATGGTGTTAAGCCAAAATGAAGTAGAGACTGTCTTGTTGCCCTGGATTTCATGGGCTTCCCCAAGATGATAGAGATTTTCTGAAGAGCTGGGGGTGGGTTTTTGTCAATTCCCCAACTCAATTGTCTCTCTCTCTTTGCCAGTGAACAACAAACCATACAGCACCCAAGAAACTTGGCTTTGTGTAAAGGCCATCTGCAGACACAGGGTCTGGGAGGGTCATGGAAGGCTGTAGAAGGAAGGCATGTCATGCAGTTTTTTTTTTCCCAGCTCTTATTCTACAAGTCATCCCTTACCAACACACATGTCCCCGATTGTTCTCCCCAATCTATCAGGTGTAGTGCGTAGTCCAGAAGCATACTTTAGTTTTAGTACAGTGTCATGAGCGTCTGCAACATGAGTGCATTTGCTCAGAAAAGCAGAGCTCATTCTGAGATGGAGAGGGGCATCATCCTTTATCTGTTCTTGGTGACAGCAGCTAAGGAAAGAATGTTCAGAGAACTAACTACCCTTTTTCAAATAGAGCCTTAGGTTTAAAAGATGAAATATGGTCAGACAGACAAGAAACTGTGGGACCTTGGATAATGGAACTGCTTTTCATAATAGTTTGATTTTAAACTTACCTCTAAATGTCTGTTTCAGAATGGTCAAAGAGAGCTCCACCAATATTTTAATAGTCATTTTACATATTAACTTGCTTCATCTCCAGAAAGATGCATTTAACATAGTTTAAAATGTTAATTAATATCATCTACAAAGTCACAAACGTAACTAGTACTGTTCAATGTGTTAACTAGAACCACTAACTGATTATGTTGCTCCAACATAACGTATTGTTTGGCCATTTCAAAAGTATTAATATTGTTAAATACTTGGTCAGTATTGTCAACTGAAGGGTTAACTCATTTAATTTGTGAGGTAGCATCACTAATTGATGCTTGATCATAACATGTATTGTTTAATATGTTACCCAGTGTCATTAACCAAAGCATTAATATATCAAGCACTATTTGGCACATTAACCTTTACCACCAACCAAACATAACAAGAACCAAATATGGGGTTAATTAGGAAAACTATTCAATGTTCAGCAAAAACGATGAACTCATTAAAAAAAAAGATTTCCCCAGATTGGTCTAAGAGTATCTTACCAAAGTTAAGACAAAAATACACGAGTATTGCTGTGCTATATAATTACAACTCCTGCTGCACCGGACTCTCAATTCCCATGTAGAACTGCTCTCCCGCTATTACAACGACAAGTTCAAAACATGGGAGCTCAAGACCGACAGCACAAGGGGGTGTACAGAGAGGAATATTTAACCTTGTCCTCGCCCCCTGTCCCAGTCCCTTTGAGATCTCTGCCTGTGATTCAATTGTTTGGATGCCCATCTTTCAATAGGAGAACGCAAGTCTCTTGCTGATATCAGAACAACACAGTAAGCACCCTCCACTTATTCCGATACTGTTCAATCTGCAGCACTGAGGTCGCTCTATTTCTCATGTACACAGAAACACTTAATTCCAAAAGGTTTCTATTACCTTACTGCAGCGATCACTCTGCCCTCACTCCACCTCTTTTGGAAAAACGCTTTTTTTTAACCGGCCTGGTCCCTTTGCAAGCGCCCAGTGCGGACAAGCAAAAAAAATACAAACAGCACAAAAGGAACGACTGAGCGAGCAGCTCATCCAGCGGCTGTTAAAGCTGGTGCAGAACCCCGGGAGAGAGGCACGGGAAGGGAAGAGGTGGAATGAGAGGCTCCAACCTTTTTTTTGTTGCACGTTAGAGAAGAGAGGGAGCGCAGTTGGTGCAGGTTTGGTGGTGGTCAGTTTCTACAATAGGCGAATGGGAGGAAGTGTTACTGCGACCGAGCCGTGGGACCAGCTTCTACTGTCAAAGCCCTGGCATTGCAGGTCCAACATTCTATCTCTATTGGCGGTGTCAGAAGATTAGGAGCTCGACCACTGTTGGCCAAATTCAGACCACACGAGAACACATCAGTTGTTTACTTCTCGACAGTGTCCAGAACAGTTCTTAATGAATCACAAATAAACTGGAGAGAACGAACAGCGTGGATTTCGCTCAGCGCGTTGTCACATCAGGGAACTCTCCCTATGTACAACTAACTAACAATGGATTTCTTTGCAGGTGGACTGTTTTCCAGTATTGTTTTCTGTATAGCAAGACTCCCCGCCGCCTCCAAATATCATA